CTGACTGAAGACATCACCAGGCTGTGTGTGAACAGGAGTGTGGACTGCCTGGGTCTCTTAAGAACCCAGGGTTCCTGGTATCTGGCTGTGACCACTCCACCGGGTACAGTGAGTGAAGGGAGGATGGGCCAGGACTGTAGTCTGGAATCCATAGGTTCATTCTCTTCTCTTTCCTGTTTTTGTCTAATAACAGGTCGAGAATCCATGTTTGTCCAACCCAGAAAGCAGGCTCTCGTCACTGCTGTGAGCTTGGTCTAGGCCCAGATCCAGTCTTCACAGTGAGGAAAGCCACAAGCACCACCAAAGGACCTGCCATCCTGAAATTTCACTCGGAGTTCCCAAAAGGTAATGCTATCTACAAACCCCTAGACCAGGGTTACCTCTGGGAGGGGTAAGATTTATGGTGCTTGGCTTGGAGTTGAGTTTACAAAAATAGCAACTCCTTAGGGATCAAATAGCATGTGTACATTATGTGATTATTTCAGGAAAGTGACTGCTCCTTGGGAACCACGGCAGCGGGCTCTGCGGTCTAGTGAGTGGCAGGCATGTGGACCAGGTAGTATTTCACCTCCTCTCTAGGGAGCAAGCCTTGGAGGCCTCGGCTGGAAATGGGCATGTGAATCACAGTTTCATGAGGTATTGGTGATACACCACTTCCCTGCCAAGAGGGAAAGTGAAACACTAAGAAACAACCAAAGTCCACATTCCATCTCAAAGACAAAGAAACTCAATGGCTGACCTCAGCCAATACCTGCAGAAGTATTGCGTTCCCCGGACAATAAGAACATATGTAAGACCCATTCACTTGCAAATCAACCTATACGTACCCAAACTTGCCAACAGCACTCCTTAAGTGCAGTGACTGCAAAGCAAGCTGGTAAGAGAGTCACTTAAATATTCAGCCAATTTTGGTTTTTAAAAATAACAAGTTAAAAGCTTTTTTAAAAATTGGAAGTACTAGCTGGGGCTTGGGGGTTGTGGGGGTGGGGTGGCCCATGCCTTTAATCCCAGCACTC